CCTTTCCCTACCAGTTGCTGCTGCCCAAGGTTGCTCATGAAGACTCATTTTCTCTTTGTCATACCCCCTGCTTCTACTTAGGAACCTCTTCCACTATTTAGAGTCTTGGGAATTCTTTTCTTGGTTTAAGAATTGAGAAACTTACTGCTGAAAACAAGTGTATCGTGTACAACTAGCATAGAGACCTAGGCCTCAAGAATGGAATTCTGGTAATTCTTGCTTAGAGAAGTTTTATGACATAATAACTATAAGAGATTGCTTTGGACCTACCTCAGGAACTAAACACATCCTTAATATAATTTGTATTGTGGAAAGAAGTTCTTTCTTTGTTCAAGCAAAGACTTAAATACATGCAGGAAGAAAACACATTCACAATTGAAGAGACATTGACCTAAGTAACAGTGTTCTCTTCCTGTTACAGTTTTAAATCATGATTTGTTTCCTTATATATAAAGATATAAAAAGTATATTGCTTTTTAGCCCAATTTAATACCATCATTGCAGATATTAGAGAAAATCTTTACTTTTCTCTTAATTCATCAAAGTAGTTGATAAAAATTTTATACATAATCAAGAAATTTTTTTATTTAACACAATGAATAGATGTTGAAATTATTTAAAATCTAAACATTTATTATTATATTAAATAAGATATTGCTAACCAATCCTGTCTTTATTCACCTGTGAGCAATTTTGGCAAGCTTCTGTGAATATTCAATGATGGGTAGGTATTTTTAGTGGGAATATTATACCTCCTACATAGAAATGAAGCATTTACTGAAATATCTATCAGACAAAATGTTTCTGAATGAGTACTACACATTTCTTGTGAATCTCTTTTCTTCTATATCTTTCAAAGGAGCTTTGCTTTGACAAAAAATCATGTTAGTTTACATATGTATTATATATAGTTTACATATATGTAAGTAATGTTTGGTTTGTGATAAAAGATATGAGAAACATTAAGCACACAAAAATAAGACCATGTTGCATTGGACCTTAGGTTGTCTCAAGCCTAGAAAGATCCTTTATAGCAAAGAGAACAAGAGAAGAAAGATGTATATGTAAATCTGAGTGAAGAAATTAGCTTTAACGGCCTGATTCTGCTATTTAGGAAGGTTACAAATACATGCTTCTGAGCAAAGGCAATGCTAAGTTTAGGCAGCAAACTCTGATTTATCAGCCCTCTCCTATGCTTTTTAAAACTCAGACAAAATTTTGAGGGAATTTGCATACCACATTAGGCAGCCTCTAGGTATGGTTTTCCTACTGATTTTCAAAAACAATTACTGGCATTTTCTCTCGTGTAACATTATATTGAAAAAGAATCTGTTCATCCATCTTTCTTTGTCCTTTCCCTTTCCCATTTCTCTCCTCTCTTGGTGTGGAAACATGCAAACACCAGTGCCTTGTGATGAGGAGGAAGGGTGACAAGCAGAAATCAAGGGCAGTGTGTTTAACAGCCAAAAAAGTGGGAAGGAAAAAAGAAGGATGTAGAGATAATGGGTGAAAGATGGAGCCAGTGTGGATTTGAGACTTGTCTGTCATACCAAATAAATAATTAAACCAATAATAAGGATAATTTCAATATCTTCTGGCTTGAATGATTGTGTTGTATCAGTATTGGAATCCTGGTTTGGAGAGTTGTGTCTGTGGAGTAGAGTCTCCTTGTTTTAAGGACATACGTACTGAAGGATTTAGAGTTAATATACCATTACGTCAGAAAAAGACATACACACGCCATAGGCAGGGAAATCAATGAAGAAAATATTTATAATTAGGGATTCTAGGAGAAGTGAAAATAAGAGACCCCTTGTACTATTATTGAAGCTATGGTTATTAAAACTTTTCTGTTGGTTTGATTGTACTTTAAATCTTAAAAAAACATAAAATTACAAAATAAAAAGATTTCATTCATCAAATACCTACTGAACATTTGTTTGTTAAAGTCATAGGATGAACCTCTATAAAAATAAACACAATTAAAGGTTTATTTCTCATTCAGATAAATCCGTGGTAGGTGTTTTTGGCGAGTGGGTGAATTCCCTCTGTAGAGAAACTTGGGGAGCCAAACTCCCTGGATATTGTAGCCCCACTGTCTTCTAGGGGTATGCATTATTCCTGAGTTTGAAGTAGCATATGTTATTTATTTTCTCACTCCATTGGATACATTCCACAATTAATGCAAGGACACTGGGAATGTAGCATATTGCCACATGCCCTGACAAAGAAGGGAGGGTAGATTTTGATGGACTAGAAAACTATGACTGACTTGTTACTAAGTGACCTGTGTGAGTAGATGCCAGCTAGGAGGAGGTTCTCTTCCATTCTTTGCTTGAAACTGAGCGAGGTGAGTGGGATGTACAAACTTTGTAGGAAGACAGTATTATCAGTGAATTCACAAAGGATGGATATATGGAAAATAATCCTGCCTACATAGGGTTTGTGCTAAACTTACTTAGCGATAAATATCAGTAGGGTGATTAAAAGCCATCTTTAAATGTAATTGTGTAAAGGAGAGGAAGATGATGTTTTTTATGGGGGGGGAGTTAACAATTATATCTAAAATAGTTCTTTACTTTTAGTCATGCTTTTCTGTGTTTAAGCATATTTATACTTGCTAACATTCAAAGGATAAAGACTATGATTTTATAGTCATAACAGGTAAGGGGTTAAGAAAGAGGAACGGGGGGGGGGTGAATATGATCAAACTATATAGTATGTGTGTATGAAGATGCCATGATGAAATCCCCTACTATATACAATTTAGTATAGTCCAATAGAAATAAATAAGGCAGGAGTTTAGAAGAAGAAAAAGAATAAAGCATCCTCTTGATGGCTTTGTTTGAACTGATCAGAGAGATTGATCTGGCCAAGTGTGCAGTTGTGGTCAAATTGTACAGAAGCCCATCTGTGGTACAGATTTCCTTATCTACTCTTATCCAAATTTTCCTTCAATTCTTTTTATTACTGGATATATTTTGGAAGCCAGACAACCTCTTGGCTAGATCATCACCTTTATAAGAAATCTATATGCTGTTCTCACTCGCTGAAATATATTTAGACATTGACCTACTGGGAATGTTTTCAAGTCATTAATGTACAGCTTGTTTACCAGCTTGAACTTGGCTTCTTGGAAATAATTCACTCCTAGCAATGTCTAATGCCAGAAGAGCATTTGAATCATCTGTGAATGTTAGCTCAGAACTTTCTTTTAATTATTATCTTTGAGTTATCTGTTCTCTGCCATTTTTCTTTGGCTTCCCAAAAGAAACCCCATAAATATTATTTGGATAAGTGAAGCTTATTTATGAAGAAAAGTCAGTTGAAGTATTTATTTTGGCTTATCCCAATTCTTTCAATAACCTTTATTTCAAGCTCCATTTAACTCAGTTCTTTAGTTGTCATATGTACCAGATGTCTCACAGTCACAGTTTTTAATTTTGTGCAGAACATCATACAACACTATGTCTTCTGATGGAGATGAGGCCTTAGAAAAATACCGAATATGAAGTGTATAACCCAACATTGGGTACATGTGGCAGCAAAACAATCTCCCTTTTGGTTCTGCCATGATCTGTTTGCCAACCTTCTTCCCCTTTCTTTTAATCTAAAAGAATGATGATTTTAATCACAATTATACCCAAACCTAAGCTCAGATACACAACTGCACAAATCATTAGTCCTTCAGTTAGAGTATGGTGTAAAAAGTAACCTGACTGAGAGAGTTCAACATCGGAGACAGCTTGCAGATTTGAGTCCATGTCTGCTCCTAACTACTGCTGTAGTCATATGATCAAATCATATGACCTCTCTGGCCTCAGTTTACTTGTGAATAAAATGTCATTCACCTATTTTTGAATGCTGTTTTTCTTCAATTTTCATATATCATAAATGAAGTTTTGATGAGTTTCCTTTCATTCAAATTTTTGTTTATATCTTAATCAGCTTCTTGGGAAAGATTAAAGTAAATTCATACCCTCCATTCAAATCATTGAAATCTGATGTCTAATAAATTCATTATATTTAGTAAATGTCTCTCATTCTTAAATATATTCACCTTCCTTACAATATTTTCCTGAACAAATACTTATGAGGTCCCTAAGAAGTTGGCAGAAATTTAAAAATCATACATCTGTATGTAATCTTTTTATAGGTCCTATAGAAATAATTTAGGAATTGTGGTTAATAGCAATAATAGGACATAACCTAAGAGTTCTTTGACTTTCTTTGTGTCATTTATCATTTCTGAATCTAATTGTAAAAAGAGGGTTGCTGTACATAATATTTGTACATGTATAACTGAATACATGTTTATGTATAATAACAAGATTATTGTAACAATTATTTGGAAAAACATGTAAAAGTACCACGTTATAAGCAGAAAAACATCTACATTTTTATTGGTGTTATTAAGTCTTTTATAAATGAAGCAGTCAGTTACATTTAGTGGTCTTTGGTTTTGATTTCCCATTTCCCATTTTTCTCCTCTCTTGGAATGAGACAAACATCAGTGCCTGGAGTCCGAGCAAGGAACCTTATACTTTCAACATTGAAATGAAGCACTCACAAGTATATATTGGTTTTCCTCTAATACTTCATAACACTATAATGTTTTTCCTTTAATATTTCATAACATTAGCAAATAAGGTACTTTGTTCTTATAAATACATTAACCAGTGCATTTCAGACCAGCATATTAGATACAATTTCCAGGAATATCAGACATGATTAAATTTTGAAGGTCTTCATAGAGAAAAGATTAATGAGTTAGATTAAAAGGAATAAAATAAAATAAATCATATATATGAACCAATTTCCAAAAAATTCATCCCAAGAGAGTACAATTTCAAAAAAATTGAACTTGTTTTTCATGGACATTTCAAAATAAATTTAGCTCATATGGTACAGTTTTAAAGACGGGAGAGGGAAAGAAATATGAGAATCTTTGGAATCCTGCCAAAGTGTAACTTGGCATTTTATTCCACCTTCTGGATGCAGTTGATTGACAGCACTGACATGATACCAGGGACATAGTGGGACTGGAAGGAGAAATCCAGAGAATTTGATGCACTTGCTCCTGAAGAACATCTCATTTCTTTAGAAACAGTAAGATTTTTACTCTCATCCTCCAACTTTTATAATTGGTGGGATCAATCCCTTTTGTGTTGCTAGACTTTTACACTTTCTTCCCACACTATCTTAGATCTTAGAAGAATAAACATTTCTTGAAGAATATTGGTTGGCAGTCCCATTCTGTATTTCTAAAATGGAGGTACTTTAAGGTTGGATTTATGCACATAGATGAAAATAACTAAGTAGCCATACACATATTTATAATAAGGTATATTTTAAAGGAAACTGTTTAGATTCTTAACCTTTATATTCTTAATCTCAGTTCTAAATGAGTTTGTAAGATGTGCTCAGTTGTTGGAGGAACAACCTAATATTAATAAAAAACACTTTTTCACATGCACAGTAGTGTTATGTACAGAAGATACTACTTTAGATTTTTATAATACCAATGCATATTGAATTCACAATACTCTTGGGAAGGTTCCAAAATGCCAGTAAAGTTTGCAGATGTAATTGTGGTTACAGAACCACCATCCTTAGTGATGGAAAGAACTTGCATAGCTCTTCATCTTCTGATTTCTCTCCAGACCCAGAATATTTAATTGAATTTCCCAAGGTCATAAAACTATGAAGTGGTAGGATTGACACTAGAATAAGTATTTGTTTCCCTAGTGCTATAGTCTTCTTAATATGAAGCTGTCTATGTTCTGTAAGCTTTGAGAACCCTCTTAGCTGGTGACATCCCTTTCTTCAATCTGTTTCATATTTTTAAGGAATGAATATACAACCATCCCAATTCACATCCCCAACTCAGTGTAGGGGGAACTATTTTTTTTAATTCATGATCACCCTCTGTGCCTCTGTGCTTTATCTGCAAGATATTTGATAGTGATGGCATGCAACATAAAAACTTTTCCTTTCACATCAAGGCAAGGTTTTTCCATTCATTAATAGAAATATATCAAATGGGCAGAAGTTTTCAACAAAGAAGTTTCAAGCTTTCTTTCCTTTCCCTTATCACAACAATGTAAGCTTCATGCTCCTCTGTTCTTCTAGTGCTTACATTTAAGTCTTGTTATATAGGTAAAATAAGTATGTCACATGGTCCTTTCTAAGATACTTGGACTACTTATGCATGAGACAAAAGGGCCCATAGGCACAAACATCCATCTATCCACCCATCCATTCATCCATCCATCTTCCTACTTATCATTACTTTGACTGATATTTGTTGACCATTATTGAGTTACCCTCAGATTTAATTTCTACCATTCTACCATGATGGAATATGCAAGAGGACCTACAGTATAGTATACTCTTTGTTTCTTTTTTAATTTCTTTTTTTTTTTATTATTATCTTGAGTTGCATTTTTTCTAATCTTGGCCATCACCTATTGGTTGCAGTTCAGGTTGCTTATTGTTTAAAGTCATTTCTGCAGCACATAAAATTTTCTTGATTACTGTGGTTGTTTCTTCACTTATGAAATTAATTCAGAAAAGTGAACCAAAATTAACATAAGATGCAGAACACAATCTATAAGGCTGCCCATTGTACTATAGTATAGTACAGTATTATTCATACATAGTTAAAATGTTTAAAATACAGATAACTTAAAAGGATACAGGTCTCATGCAATCAATATACTTTTAATTGCTCCCTCCCCATTCTCCACTCCCCTACTTAAAAAAGAAAGTCTGTCTCAAGGGATGAAGGCCAATCATTTCTTCTAAATGCATTTCTCCATATAATTCATGAATCCATGAATTCATATTAGAATATGGTCTTCTAATTATCCATTTAACTGTTATGCTTTTAAAATTAAATTAAATTCATATTAGAATATTGTCTTCTAATTATCCATTTAACTGTATGCTTTTAAAATTAAATGACAAATATTATGCTTTGCTTCTTGAAAATAAATATTTAAAAATTTTGATAAAGGATATTATTGAAGCTAAAGTAACAAAGTATTTAAATCTTACTTTTCATTTTGTATTTGAACAAAAATTATGGAGGTTTTCCATAATGTACTCTGAACTGTCCTTACATTTGGACTCAAAAGTTAGAAGATATTATTTCTATCATTCAACAGCCCTGTCTATAGATTAGTAATAAAATTGGACATGAAAACAAAATTTGTTTGATGTAATTATCAATGGTCCATCCACTTGACTCCAGGGAGAATAATAGGTTGCAATAGGTAATGATGTGAGATTGTATAACTCTAGTAGGAGTGTATACTACCTCAAAATACCTATATAAGGACTGAAAATAAATATGTATTTTCTCAAGTTATCTATGTAAAAAATATAAGAGAAATAGAATTTTTGACCCCGAAAATACATTATATAGGCAATCTATTTGTCTTTTCTATTCTCTGGTTGAATGTATCAGATAATGGGAACCTAAATCTGGCATTCTTGTTCTTAAAAATCTTTCCAAATATTTTGGTGACAGCTGGAACAGACTACTTTTTGTCTTACCTGACTTTTGTAACCTCAAACATCAAAATGATAAGAACTTCAAGTAGTCTTTGTTTAGAAAAATAAAAATTTAACTACTAGTGGAAGTCAGTATTTACTTAGTCTCAGAATTCTAAGTGATAAAATAATTCTTTAAAGTATATTTAAGGTATGCATTAGTATGAAAACATATGTTTACCTATGCATGCAGAAGCAACCAATTTCATATGGATGTGTATAGTCACGGAGGTGTGACCCCTCAGAGGGATCCCATAGTTGCTCTAGAGAAATCCAGCAGCAAGAGAGTTTTTCCTAAGTTATGAAGAACTTTAGAAAGTGCTTATAAGTGTTAGTTCAACTAAAACAGGAAAATTGGTAATGGCTTTTAGAAATTGAAACAAGTTCAGCAAGTAGATTATTAATCTTGGATATGCTCTTTGGTGTCACAATGATTAACTTTCTAGTCTCTAATCTGAAGAGTGTTTCTTTTCTAGACCACACTCATTCTCACATCACTGAGATGATTCCATACACTTAAAGACCAGAGAGCTGAGAACAGAGCTCAGCGATAAAGCACTTTCCTAGCATGCGCAAGGCCCTGGCTTCAAGCCTCAGCACCACAACAATTAAAAACAAATAAGTGAATGACGCCTTCTACATTATATTCTCTAATAAAATTCTTCCCTCTGAGGCAATGAAAGGAACCCAGTACCACTCACACTACTTAGCTTACTTTTATGTCAGTTTTTAGTGGTTTGGGACTATGGTTATAATTGACATATCAGGAAGAAATATAGCAAAAATAAAGTATTTGTCTATTTCTATTTTGCAGACTATGTATTCATAAAACAAATGTTAAGAAATATTTCTCCTTTAGCCATATCCATATTTAGAAACAAGGTAAGAAGGATTTAAAATTATCTAAGGCCTATATGTAGTACCAAATTAAAGGAAAGTTGGATGTCACTGCTGTTGGGTAAAATGCTGCTGTGTCACTCACTATAGAGTTACTTACTGGAGTGTAAGAAGGGAATCTCTTGTTGAAGACAAAAACTGAGCTATAACAAGGGTTAATTCTCTCAGTCACATGCATAATTTTCCTTTCCCACAAGTGGTAATGAATGACACTGAGGCTCCTACCTCTTCTGTGACCACAGCTTTTGTTACAATGAAGCTAGTCAGACTTAGAGATGCTCTCACTGTATGTGAAAGAGGTCTCTGAATGAAGAATGCATGTGTAAAGGCTTTGACTTTTAAGCAGAGTTCAAACTAGGAAAGCACAAAACTTCCAGTTGCATTTTTTACAAATTGAAGTAGAGATCATACTTTTCCTACAAGATAATATTTATGCAAACCTTCATGAAGTACAACGAGTTTATTAATCAATTAACTGATTTGTAGTTGACTCATATACTTTTTGTGGGGCTCTATATGTGAATCTTTGTTAAGAAGTATAATTCAATTCAACATCCACTTACTGGGCCCTTGCTCAATTAATTTCAAGACTTTAAAACTATAATCAATGAAGAAAATCAATTAATTAATCAACTTTAACAACAGATCACTTAATAATATAACTGATACTTTAATGCATAATCAATATAGTTAATTATAGATTAATGAATTCATAAATGAAATAAATACTGAGTGTTATAGACAATAATCTTGGAGAATAATCTTAGAAACTAGTCATTCAATCATGAGATTTAATCAGATTTGTTGAAAACATTGAAAGAGAAAAGTAAAATGATGAAATTTCAGCTTGCAAATAATCTGACGGCAATGTGCAGAATGCTTTTAAGAGAGAAGTTAGAGGCACAAATGACAATTTGAAGGTCATAACAGATTCATCTCAAAGTCCCAAGATTTTGTAGTATCCTGAAAACTCTTGGGAATATTTGTCATCGTTAGCATTTGTTCTTATTTTCATGTTTGAGTTTGACCTAAGGATATATAGCTCATAACAGGGCAACAAAAAGAACCAGCATCCAAAATGTTTACCTGATGTCAGCAAAACCAGTAGCATCTTGAGTTTCTGTTGAGGGATTGAGGGTTGACCATCAGGTGGCAGAACACATGAGTAAAGTTCCATGGAAGGTCCTCCTCAGGGATCAAATAAAAACACCACACACACACACACACACACACACACACACACACACACACACACACACATCTGTGAAGCAGGGAAGGAGGTCCATTGTAGTGCAAAAAGCATCCTGGAAGGCCTTTGGAGAGTAAGTTTCAATTTTTACAAGAGCATGGCTTCCAAGCCAAGCAAGCACAGGTACTTGGCACAGTGAAGCAGAACTTAAAGTAGGACTCTCGGTGTGCAAGTTGCATCTGTCACAGGGGAGCTGGGTTTCTGGAATACAAGATTAAAAATCCCCTTTCAGGACAGGAACTGTGTCCTTGTTCTGTGCAGGGACTTACGTGTGTATTGTGGAATACCTATGGTAAGGAGATGAGCCAGGTTGCTACTACTAGCCTGGAAAGAGACCCACATTAAGGGAGACTCAGGTCTAAAGGTAGGTGCCCAGTGTTCAGTTTTCTGGCACCTGCAGAAATGAAACTTTGTGTCTAATGTGTCCCAGGTCTACCAAAAAGAAGTGAGTTAAGGACCTGTTATGCATGTATGGCTGTCATCAAGAAAAGAAAAAACAACAAATGCTGGGGTGAGTGTGGGAAAAAAGGAACCTTTGTGCTGTTGGTGGGACTAGTCACTAGGGAAAATTCAATAAGGAAGTCCCTCAAAACATTAAAAATAGAACTTCCATATGATCCAGCCATACCGTTTTGGGTTATACACCCAAAAGAATCAAACTGCTTACTACAGAGATACCTGAATACCCATGTTTGTTGTGGCACTATTCACACTAGTCTAATTTGGCTAGTTTACATAATTTTGTAATTAGGTGACCATCAGCAGATGAATGGATTTTTTAAAATGTAGCATATGTACACAATGAAGTTTTGTGCAGCCATAAAGAAGAATGAAATTATTTCATTTGCAGGGAATATGAATGGAAATGGAAATTATCACATGAAGTGAAATAAGCCAGTCTCACAAAGACAAGTATTGTATGTTTTCTCTCATATGTGGAAAAAAGTGAAGGCCATGAAACTAAAAGGCGGACGACTATGGATGTGGAAAGGGAACTGGGAAAGGGGAAAATTACAAGAAAGAGGAATAGAGGAGGTGAATGCAATCAAAGTACATTGCATGTGAGCATGGAAATGTCATAATGAAATCCCTTACATTATACAATTAATATATGCTAATACGAAAAAGAAAAGAAGGGAGATTAGAAAGAAGAACTCCAGTTAGGAAATTTAAGCACAAGTGCGGGTGAGAGATCGCTGAAGGTCTAAAATGGACAACTAATGTGAGAATGGAGAAAAAAGTTAGCAACTTGGGTGTGAAAGAAGTAAGACAGAGAGAGTGTGAAGGATGACTAAGTGTGAATCTGTTTTTAAAGAATAAATGAAAATTTGAGTATTTGAACTAATTAGGCTTAATAGTTACTTTTGGGCAAGGCAACAGACTTGTGACTTACTGTTTCACTTGTAGACTGAAAAACTGAAAATTATAAACCCTCACTTTTTCATGTGTATATATGAATGTATATCTATATACCAGATGTATATCTTATTTGACAAAGGAGGCTAGCCCCATTGCTACTAAATTCTATTATAATCCTAGACCAGTAAAACCAAGTGAATTCTGATTACCCCAAGAATCCTATTTGGAAAGGTTATTGCCTTTTTATTTAATCATAGGTCAGAGGAGAACTCTTTTGAAGAGATATTTTAATTGAAACATAATTGTATGTATTTATGGGGTATCATGATAAATTGGTGCGTGTATGTAATGTGTAATGATGAAATTAAGGAAAACAGTATTTCCATTTCCTTAGCTTGTCTTTTCTTTGTGTTAGAAACTTTCTGTCATTCTTCCAGTTCTTTATAAAATACATAACAATTGTTGTACACTGTAGTCACCCCAGTTGCTATAGAACACTAGAACCTATTCCAGCTATCCAACTGTATTTTTGCACCATTACCCTCCATCTCCTGTCTCCCATTCCTTTCTAGTCTCTTGTGACTATTATTCCACTCTCTACTGCTAAATCAAGAACTTTTATTAGGGTACTTTCTCTTGGGAAATCCCCCAACTCTGAGAGCTCAACTCTATCACTTTACACTTTTCTGTCCCAAGAAACTCTCCTGCTATACTTTCAGAAAAGAACTTTTATCTACATTTAAAACAATTTTGGCACAATCATTTATCTTCATAAATATTCCAACTAAATAAATTGATTCTTTCATCTGAAAAATTTATGACTGGGTAAAAGTATTTTTCCCATAAAAAACATAGAAATGTTAACACAAATACTTTTGAAATTAACTAATTAGATGTTTTAAAAATATTTATTGTCAAAAGATATCTCACTTTAAAAGTATATGATTACAAATATAATTAAACTTTGCTATTTGTCTATTTCTCATGATGCTGTTCATATAATTTCATATTTTGATTCTTTGTTATCCTGGGGATTGAATTCAGGGTCTTGTGCTTATTAAGTAAGCACTCTAACACTTGAACCATACTCCCTAATTTTATATTTTTATGTGTCTTTTCTCTAAAACTTGATAAAGCACACTCCTGTACACTCTTAATCACCACACTGGAATTCACAAAATGTTACTATGAAGCTGAAAGATGCACCATTCCTCTTAACTAAATTGCACTAATTAAATATTAAAGGAAAATGTTTCATTATATGGTAATGTGCAAAACAAGGAAAGAAAAAGTCAGAGTTTTTATACAGTGTATTGGATATAAGCATTACATGTGGAAAGGGGAAATTGTATTTTTCATTTTCTTAAATCTTTTGGAGGTAAAATTCAACTTCTCTTACTTTTTAAAGAATAAAAGACTTAGTCTAAAGAACATTTTTAAAACTTTTATTTTAAGTGATCCACAATCTCAGAAGTTTAATATTTTGTTTAAAATGTTTGTGTTCTGTCTTCTACCAAGTCTAGTTTAAAAACAAAACAAATGACAACCAAAAACCTTTAGCAACTTGCACTTTAAGGTAGAAGAAACTAGTTAAGTGGTCTGGAAATATCATACTTTCCTCTCTTTTTATTTTTAACTTGGAAAAAGAAATTGCAGAATTTAGCTTAAGTGTTAGTATCTCCCAAGTGTCAATATTTCACTCTCCTTCATGTCTTGATAGCAACTTAAAATAGAATCTCAGTAGCACAAGCAAGATTGGGCTCAAAGATATGGTTAAAAATTATTTGGCTAGGTGCCTGTTGCTGAGGGAAGAAATAACTAATCCTGAGAACATTTTTGTAGCCAAATGTCAAATTATTTGTGCTTAGCTTCATAGCATCATTCTTATCCTTCAAAATGACTTCAGACCAAATGCCAGAAATATTGTGCTTTTTGGCTATGGAGTTGTATTCAGAAGTGACAGGAAGCAAGAGGTAGAATCACATTAAATGTGACCGTTCTGGTTTGCAGAACAGAGGCCTTTGCTTTCCTGGTGGTTAGAAAATGATTCTGGTTTCCAGCCCATTTCATGATAAGATGGTTACTTCCATATCAAGTATTCTGTAGAAGTATATGTGTTTGTGTCTGTGCTTTTTTTTTAACACTGCAAAGTTTCTGAAAGTAGTACAAGCCTTGTAATATAAAATAGATGTGAGGAACAAGAAACTTTTCTTCCCTTATATTGTCTTACTTTAGCATCTGCATTCTTAAAATGTTCTGTTATGAACACTTGATTTGGTGATAGTAGCTGTTACCAAGGCAACTGTAACTCCACCTAGGTAAAAATGAATCTTGAAGATGAGTTTGTGTGCCTTTGAGCAAATATTATATAGATGCAGAGTAGAGGAGTGGGCTAAAGACTTGGTTAAAGATACCTAAGTCTTTGATCTTCACCAATTTTGTAGACGCACATGTATCTACATGTGTACATATATACCTGTACATTTGATTCTTAGTTAGACAAATAACTATTAAAGCAATTTGAGTTCTCCATGTAAATTTCAAATATATTCTCAACACATTGAGGGACTTTTTAAGTTCACTATGGTAGCTAACCATTTGTCGATCTTATTTCTTTATTAATCTCATTCCTGGAATTTTTTCTGTTTAAATCTGTCAGCAAACATGATATGCTTTGACACTGGTTTTATTCTGTGGAGATACTGATAATAACAAAGCACATATTTCAACCTAAGTTAAAACAAAATGCCAGTTGTTCATGGAGGAAAAGAACATACTTCTGTATTTAAAATAACCAATTGTGTTCTGTATTTTTAAACTGCTCTCTTAATTAATTGTGATTGTCTTGAATATAATTTATTAACCTAAGAATCAATTACAACAGTCAGAATGATAACTCAAAGTAGGGTATCTATAATGAATTTTAACATATTCTCATCCCTTTCAAAAAAAAAAGCTCTTTTCTTCAGATTTTGTCAGAGAAACAGCCAGTGACAATTTTAGTTCAGTAAATTCTACAAACAAACATTTTATGCACAGGGGATCAGTAATCTAAGTAAAGATTTCACATCTTGTCTCTGTGCTCACCCACAGAACAGGGCTCATCAGTACAGACATTGCTTGACCATCTACTTCCTTGACAAGGATATTCTTTGATCAGTGAGCTCTTCCCTCCACATACCCATCTGTGGCTCATGGAGATTCCAGGAGGCAAGGGATTTGTGATTGGAAGCAGTACCCTTTTCATGTAAGGAATTTGTAATGTCACTGCATCCATGTGAGAAAGACCTTCAGTATCTTTAAAACCAAGGGAATCATGCGATTTTCCAAATCACAAAATTGTCACCTGCCTTTGGCTAGGCACTTTCAATACACACAAGAATGAAGCAAGAAAATTCTTCAAATTAATCCTTCCCTCTTTTATATTATATCCAAACCGTGCTACAAGAATGCCTTTTTTTTATTTTCAAGAACGTGTTAATGTGTTTGTTCGCACTGCTAGCTTTGACATTCTGCAGGTGAGGGATAGCACCTCACGCTTCTCTGAATCTCTAAGACTTCTCATTATGTTGATCCTATTAGGAGGTATATGCTGAAGACGTAATAGTAATATGTGTAGGGAACAGAATTATTGTTGAAGGAGATGTTACAAATAGAATAAAGAAAGCTTTGAATGTTAAATCTTCAAATCTAAAACGATATCTCCCTCTCTCTGGACAAGTTACTCTTAGATTTTAGCTATTGAATCAGACTAAATATGATCTCCATACTTTTTTTACTCTAACATTTAACAATAAGATACAGTAATTTTACAATACTTAGGGAAGGAATTAGGGAAACAGGGAGCAAAGTGAAAAATACACTAGTTGAAATTTGTATCTTAGTATCAGAAACCAAAAAATAGGAAAGAATCACAGTATTTTAAAGTCCTGTGTTTACTGCGACTTGACATTACATCACTGTTTTTGCTAACTTATAACTATTGCTTGATATGTACCAGGTGCTGGGTTATGACCTTTAGAAAATTGACTCCTTTCATTTTCACCATAACCCATGACATAGGTGTTTCAGGAAGTTAAATAACTTGACCTTTATCATATGCCTAGTAATGAGGAATTTCAGACAGGTCCAGCTCCCTAGCC